GTCTATTTCCTTTGCCAGATTGGGGAAGTTCTCCTTTATTATTTGTTCAAATAGCGTTTCCTCTCGTTGCTCTTCCTCTTCTCCTTCTGGTACCCCAATAATTCGGATGTTGGAATGTTTCAAGATGTCCTGGAGGTTCCTAAGCGCCTCCTCAATTTTTTGAATTCTTGTTTCTTCACTGTTTTCTGGATGGATATTTCTTTCTTCCTTCTGGTCCACACCGTTGATTTGAGTCCCAGTTTCCTTCCCATCACTATTGGTTCCCTGCACACTTTCCTTCATTTCACTTAGCATAGCCTTCATTTTTTCATCTAATTTGTTACCAAATTCAACCAATTCTGTGAGCATCCTGATCACCAGTGCTTTGAACTGTGTATCTGATAGGTTGGCTGTCTCTTTATTGCTTAGTTGTATTTTTTCTGGACCTTTGATCTGTTCTTTCATTTGGGCCATTTTTTTGTTTGTTTTGGTTTGATGCACTTGTTACATAATGAGGAGAGGAGCCTTAGGTGTTCACCAGGGCAGGGTAACCCACGTTGCTGTGTTGTGGTGCTGTATGTGGGGGAGGGGTCTGAGAGGGAACAATGGCACTTGCTCTGCTCTCTGCTGGATTTCAGTCCCTTCCTTGGCTTCCCCAAGCAAATTGGGCCCTTCTGGTGCTGATTCCCATGTGGGTGGGCTTGTGTACATTCTAGGACCATGTGGGTCTCTCTAACAAACTCTCCTGTGAGGCTGGGAGTTTCTCCCAGCACCTCAACCCCCACAGGCGTTTTCAATTGGTGTTTTGAGGCTTTATTTCCCTGAGCTGGGACTCTGGGTTGTATGGTCTGTCTTGCTGCCCAGTTTTACCTGGTTTGTCTGTGCATGAATGTGGGACCGCCTGGTTCTGCAAGCCACCTTGCATGCCAAGCCCGTCCACAGTCCTCTGCCTTGCTGGGTCCACCTGCTGCCACCTTGAGCACCTGGGTCTGTCAGCCACCCCCCTTTTTTTTTTTTGCCATAACCCCTCTCCACCCTGACTCCGCCCTCCTACTGGTCTGGATGACTGTGTCTACTTCAACTCATTGGTTGTTGGACTTCCATACAGTTCAATTTTCTGTCAACACTGGTTATTATTTTGTGTCTAAATTTTTGTTGTCCTTATTTTGGTTGTGCAAGGAGGCACAGTGTGTCTACCCACACCTCCATCTTGGCCGGAAGTTTGGGATTGAATCTTTATGGGCACTTTATTCAGATGGCTAGCAAAGGTGGTGGGTTATAAACCTTAACAGACCATATTAAATTCCATTTTAAACTGACCCATTTTATAAGGAGAAGGAAAGTGTAGGTAAGGGGTTTGGAATTCAGCTAAAATGTTAATCAGATAAAAAGCTGCAGTGTCCTTTCGTTTGTCTCCTGTGAGGTGGTCTTTATCTGTGTCCTGGGTGGTGGGCATCTCACCTTGGAGCACAATGGCCCAGATACCATCTTGATTGATTGAGTCCTCCTGAGGCACAAAGGTGGAGCTGCTTATGGTCTCCTAGAGTCAGGGTGGGTCATACCTTTGGCTTCTGAAACAATAGCTTTTTACATACTTTGGTTACTAAGCTTATTAGCTATTACCTAAAACTAAAATTTTCTAACAGTTAAGTCCCCCACCCCATCACTACTATACCTTTTTGGGCCTCGGTGTCATCATCATCTGTACTAGCTAGGTGGTCTTAGGCTAGTGCCCCCTCTCAGGGTTTCTGGGCTTGGAGCCCCTGGACTTTCACCTCTAACATCCAAAGAGCATGAGCCTTAAATGAGGTTGTCTAAAGATTGAGGACAGAATCAAAAAAAGAAACTTGGGGTTCCCCTGATTTATAGAGCTGCAGATAGAGGCTTGTACTTCAAATTCATGTTTCCTGTCATTTTGGATGATATGTGGGCAATCACCTCCCATTGTCAATGCCCATAGGTGGAAGTCATATAAATGAAAACTTGAAATACATATTAGTGCAGGTGGTAAGTGGATGTGGCAGGAGTAGGAAGGTAGAACCTGAATGAATGAAATTGGGAAACATGGCATTGAGCAAACAAGTGACTCTCCAGCAGGATGATTTCCACTGGAGACCACTCTAGTGGAGGCAATATTTGGGGTGAGATGGGATTTCTGGTGTTTGCTATTCCACACCAGCCCTGAATCCAGGAGACTGATGTGTAAAGTCTTCTCTGAGCAAATATTTATTGAGCAACAGTTATGTGGCAGACACTGTGCTAGCTGCTGGGGATCCTACAGTGAGAAAATCATCCCAGAATTTTGCTCTCCTGAGGCTGACATTCTCCTTGGGGTAGACAGAGCACATACACTGAAAATCAATTGGTGTTTCCCTCAGTGTCTGCTGGTAGAAAGGTCTCTATCCTCGACTCCTAAAATATGTCACTCCATTTCCTGTGTTACCCAACTAGAGGGGTTCATTCACCTGCACATCTCAAAGTCCAGTTAAACACAAACAGGAGTTTGCAGCAAAGAAAGTAAAGGTTTATTTAAGGAAATGGCTCCCAACCTGGAAGTACAGGTGAACGATTGCTCCAAGACCTGGTTCCCCAATGGCTTCTAAGGAATGAGTTATATAGGGAAGAAATCATTAGTCATGGTAACTAGCAGAGTTAGGGTTGTGGTCTCTACTTACTGGCTGGCCCTAGGGTAGGGGTGGTTGATCATTGCCTCTTGTCCTGATGTCAGCCATGGCAGCACTCTGTCCAGTCTTTCAAGGGTGTGGTTGGGAGGTCATTCTGCTTTTCTAGGTCTGGACCTGAAACACAAACTGAAGTCTAGGTGTTATCTTGAGTTTGACTGAAACTCTGTCTCTGTGGTCAACAGACCCAAGGCTTTGTTCCTAAGATTGTTTGATTCTGAACAGAACCTCATTGTCCCAAGAGCTTTATAATTAAGGGAGAGGGAGGTGGGTGAGTCAGGGTTATGGACAAGGCCATTTTGAATCAAAAGGAAAGAAAGGGGAAAAGGTCATATTGAAGAAATGAAGTGCCTGTGTGGTTACACTTGGCTCTCAAGCAGTGTTCCCCAGGCCACTGGCCTTTCTGAACCCTAGTTTCCTCACTGGTAAATTGGAAATGTCTACAGTAAGAATTACCAGAAGACGAGTGGTTCTAGCATGCATATAATTCTTTGAGGAATCCTCTGGAACTGCAGAGTGCTGGGCCCAACCCCAAAGATTCTCACTGGGGATGGATGCAGCAAAGTATTCCAAGTTCCTGGGGGATTTTGAGGCAGGTGGTCATGGATGGGACTACTCTGTCCCCACTTGGAGAACACTGTAGTAGATGATGAGTGTAAAAGGGAAAGTGCTCTCTAAAAGGTCACTGGTATTAATGCCACAGATAAGCAATTGCTAGAATAACTGGCTTGACATACCAAAGCTGGCCTTGCTGTAGGTAGCCATGAAAATGGCCAGCCCTCCATCTCCTGCTGTGGGGAGCCTAATCTGAGATGGTCTCAGTTGCTGCTTCAGTTGCTGCTGTTCTGGACTCCCTTCACCCCAGCTCGTCTTTGTGTTGAAGTTGACCCCTGCTACTGACTCAGTGGGGCTGGGGCTGCAAATACAGGCTCATTACTGTAAGCACTAGACAGCTATAATAGGAGACTTCAGCTTGAGTATTCCCTGTTGCTCTGGCCATAACATTCTAGGCACTTTGGGGCAGTCCAAGACTCTTTCTGTGTAATTTTCTTTCCTTCCTCCTCTCCTGAATCAGGGTCTAAAGGCTCTCCCTGTCTTCTTTACTTCCCCCATTCTTCATAAGTATTATCCAATAATTCTCTTGCCCATCTAGTCCCATCTTGGCCTCTTCTGCTCTGAGTGCCTGAATGAATACACCTGACTTGGTCTCTGACATCAGAACAGCCTTCAGTACAGCCCCATTTATTGCCATGCTCCTTCCCGGTGGCAGCAAAGCTTGATCAGCGGGATCATATGTATGAACGGAAGCAAGGGCCAGCCCCTCCAAAATCATCTTATCCCCATCTTTGGCAGCCCTGGCACAGCCATGCTGGCACAGTACCAAAGCCTCTTCAGGGACTATAGCTGTCTGGTACAGTGGTTCAGAGCATTGTCCCCAGGGCTAGCTTGTTCTGTTTCAAATCTCAAGTCTGCAGGACCCTGTGCAAGTTACTTAACCTCTTTGTGCCCTCAAACTGTGTGAAACATGTTTGTGGACAGGACTCACTTCATAGAGCTGTTGTCCAGAAACTTCAAAATTGGCCCTGCAGGTAGGTTCTCTGCATCATATTGCAGTGTTACAATTTAAGGAGCTGGGCAAGTGCCCTGCCCTTCCCCTTTCCTAGGCATGCCTGAACTAGCTGCTTGTGGTTTCTGCAAATCCTTTGGGTGGGAGAAGCCACAAGGAACACTGGAAATGCCGTGGTTCCAGGCCAGCTCTACCACTTACTGCAACAGGGCCTCTATAAGGTCATTTTCTTTTTCTACTATTCATTTTATTTGTGAATTCAAGAAGTTGAATGTTTCTTCCTAAATGGTTGGATTTCACTTCTAGCCCCAAGACTCTGAAAGACTAGTACTCTCTAGAGGCAAACTTTGTCTTCTTTCATTCTGCCCATTAAATGTAGTACACTGAACATGTGTTATTAGCTCAGCCTGTGGTAGGCACTGGGGATTCAAAAATGTAAAGAGAAGGTCTTTGCCCTCAAATTGCTTAGAGTCTTCTTAGGGAGACAAATACATCCACAGATAATTCCAGTACAATGAGGGTTTTGTAGTTACCTAGAGATGAAAGACTTCTGCTTTGGTTTTTACTAACATTTTATAATGGGAAGTGGGAGAGGTGCAGGAAATAGTTTCCTGATGACATTTGGCTCAGAGAGGAAGGACAATGTGTTTCAATGTCCCCTGCTTTAAAAAATAAAGAAAAGAAAATGAAAAAGATATTTATTTTTACTGAGAAAAAGAAACGGAAAAACTGTGGTGGTTAAACAATTAGGCAGTTTATTTTTTTTTTTACAGGCCAGGAGGCTGGTTAATTATTAGTGAGACCCGAGGAGGTGTTTGGTGTTCAAGAGTGTGAACGTCTGGACTACGTGATGTTACCCCAGCTCTGAGACTTTCGGCTCAGCCATGTGCCCAGGCTTCTGGGAAAGATGCTTCTGGTCATGGGGACTCCTTCTGTGGTTCAGCGTTGGAAGTGCAGGTAAATCAGGGGCTCAGGAGCTGGGTGGAATGATTCTGTTACTCAAACCACTGCATATGCAGTGCTAACCTTTGGAAGAACCCCTGAAAGTACTCTCTCTGGAGATGAAGTGGCAAGAGGGAGAACAAACCCTACAATTGTAATGGCAATGACGGTAATCAGGGCACTTTCTCAAGTCAGAAGACCTCCCCTAGTTGTTTTACTAATTGTTCTAAAACCCTCATTATTCATTTTCACCTGGCATGGGTCAGGATGATTGTAAAAAAATAAAATTTAATTAATTCCAAGATGTTATTTATTTTTACCTGATAAATGTTCATCATTCCAAGATATATCTTATATTAAAACTAAAATTTTCCAAACTAAAGATTTTGTCACTGAGCTTGTCAGACATCCTTTTTTATATCACTGACTCAACTCAAATTCAGGTTTATCATCCTTCCTGGCAGAACACTGATAACTCATCTCTGCCAATGTTGGGTGATGGTTAAGACAACTTTCCTCAGATGCCATTTGCATTCTACCTTTCCCATTAAAAACCCCACACACTGTGTGCCTGATACAGCAAATCGAAACTCTCCTGTGGCATTGAGATTCTCCAACTAGTGACAATCCCTGCCTGCCCCCAGCAGTGGCACCACCCTTGGAAAGCTCCCTTCCCCTGGTCCCAACAGTGGCCTGCTTTTCTGTCATCTCCACGAGACATTTAATTATCTCTCTCTGGTTTTAGACTGTGGTCTTCCTTCTGCCTGGAGTTTCTCTTCCTAGCTTTTCCTTCATTTCAGCTCTTCACAGTTTCCAAGAGAGCTTCCGTGGTGCATATCTCCCCTGCAACGCTTCATCCCTCTACTCAGCACTCCTTCCCTGCTCCAAAGTTCAGCTTGGAGCTGAATGAGTGTATTTATTATCTGCATCAGTGGGTTGCTTTTAAAAGGTGCTGCCTAGTTTCATGTGTCATTTATTTGTGTATGTGTATAAAATGACCCCCATATATACATATTTGTGTGTATATGTGAAAGAGAGAGAGAGAGAGAGAGATCCTTCCATATCAACACACAGAGCTGTCTTGCTTTTTAAAACATGGCTGTTTATACACTTTATTCTAGATCTGAAAGGACTTACATCTTATACATTTTTGATAGACATGAGAAAAATTGCCCTGTAAAGAAGTTATAACTACTTATTAATATGTGAACATAGCCATTTCCCTACCTCTCTGCCAATACTTTGTAATATCAAATGTTTTTCACATTGTTAATCTGGTAGGAAAAATAATATTACATTGTTGTCTTAATTCTTATTATGATTTCTCCTTTGTCATCTTGCTTAAGTAATCATCCTATAAAGATAATCTCTCATATTTTTTTTCTAAATCCTATGGACTAGTCCAATTAGACTAAGATCACCAGGGTCAAATTCTTTGGTCATGGCATATTTAAAAAAATTTTAATTTAATTTTTTTGTTTTTTATTTTTTAAAAGATTTATTTATTTAGTTTTCAGAGAGAGAGGGAGGGAGAGAGAGAGGGAGAGAAACACCAGTGTGAGAGAGAAACATCAGCTGGCTGCCTTTCGCATGCCCCCAACCAGGGACCTGGCCCACAACCCAGGCATGTGCTCTGACTGGGATTCCACCTGGCAACCCTTTGGTTCACAGGCCAGCGCTCAGTCCACTGAGCCAACCAGCCAGGGTGAAACAGTTTTTATAAAATAAAGAAGATGTACTTTAAAGACTTGGTAGAGTTCTCAAATTAAACCATCTGACACTGGTGGATTTCAGGGTCAGAGAAGACTCTTGCTTGCTTGCCAATTCCATTTTTTTGATCCTGGTAGGTTTATTTGGGTTTTCTATTTCTTAAATAATTTTCAGTAAATTATATTTTTCTAGAAAATTATCTATCTCTTTTTAGTTTCCAAGTGCATTTGTCTGATAATTTTTAAGAATATCTTTTTATCATTAATGTTCTACAGTTTATACTATATTTTGCCTGGTATAGATGGATTTATTTTTTATCTTGCTCATGATCCTAAGAACAATTTTTGATTAGTGAATTCATTCTTAGCAATTATCTTTAAAAAATATTGCTTCCTCTCCCATTCTCTTCCTTTAGAGAACAACTACTAGGTAAATAATGTTGGAGCCTCTCCACTTATTGTGTACTTTTTAAGTGCATCTTTATATTAAAAAATTTATTTTATTTCTGTACTAGATATCATAGGGTTGACTTATTTTTTCAATGACTTTCTTTTTTATTTCCAATTTTCTAATTAACTTTTTCTTATAAATCTTATTCTATTATTTATGCCTCTTTTTGTTTCCATAATTTAGTATGCTCTGTATTTTTATCCTTGTATATTCTCAGCATACTTATTTTAAAATATATGTCAAAGGTTTTTTAAACTTTATTTCACCTGGAATGAATTCATGGTCCACTTACTGGTTTTATTGACTGTTTTTGTAAGCATTTGAACTCTTTATGTATGTAAGCATTTTGTTTGTAGGTTATTTATTTATTTAATTTGAAAAATCATTATTTTAATTTTTGTTAAATCCCTGAACATTGACATCAAATTATTCCACTTTGATATGTTTACTCAAAAGTCTGTCTATAACAACAAAAGCAGTAAAACATTTCAAGAAAGAATAAGGTAATAGTGATGTTAAACTGTCATTAATATACAGTATTTAATATTATTAGTTTGATCTTCCCCCCATTACTTAACATAGACGAGAATAGCAGCTCAAAGGAGAAAATAACACAATAAAACCAAACAAATAAAGCAAAAGACAGCTTGCTCAAATTTTTCTTCTATGGTTTTTAAGCACAACCATAATCAAAATTGCCATTTCCTCAAAAGTTTTTAATGAGTACAGAATAAAGTTCAAACTATAAGTATGTTATTCAGTGTTTTCCCTTTAATCAGATCTCAAACTGCCACTTTAAAGCTTTCTCCTCATAACCCCACCTGTTATCTCTGGCTGTGGAGACATTGTCTACATCGCACATCAACTGTTGGACTGTGAACACCTTGAGAACCAGATCTACCCATTGAACAACTTTGTATCCTCCTCAGAGACTGATACAGTGTTTGGCACATAAGAGACACTGGAAAAGATTTATTAAATTAAAGTAATTTGAATGATGCTGAAAAAAAATCCCAGAAAACTTTAGGCACAAATATTATAAAAAGCAAGTTTTATGCCTTTTTGTGGTCATGACTTATTTTTTATAAAAATGTAAATATAGCTTCAAAACAATTTGAGTGAGCATTACCATTTATTCTCCAGAGTTAATTTTAAGAATAAAAACCTAGGACAGTACAAAAAATTAATAATGTTTTTCTACTGTTTTAATATTTAGAGGATTGTAAGAATTCTTTTTGGCCAGTACCATTTGCCTTGATTTTACCCATATGCAAGAAAGTGTACCTCTGCTTTCCAGTCATTTTCAACATATGTTTATCTCTGTTTTCCTAACCTCAGAAAATATATCATCTTTACACAACCAGTATACATTTTTAAAAATCAAATTCATGAACACTTTGGGGAGGGAAATGTGGTTATGTTTATATTAATCTCATGTAGGTTCACAAACACATCATTTAGACATTCTTTTTTACTTTTATTGTTTATATTATGAATATGCTATGGAACATAGGTCCTTGAGGAAACATCAATTTAACTAAACAGACATCAAGAATATAAAAATCTGACTTTGTGAAAAAGTTAGAATTAATGTTTAGCAGCAAAATAATATCCAAATTAACTTGCTAATATCTAATACTAGATTAGCAAACTGAATAATGGGATCTTAGCTCTGGTAGGAAATATAGAAGCTTTCAGGATAGAGGTATTGTCTTTACATTGGAAAGACTATAAAAGAACATACATTTTATATAAATAAATTAGTTATCAATAATGTTTAAAATAAATAAAAATTAAAATAACAAAAATTTTCTACTGAAATATCTGGAAACATTGATGTCCCTCAATGGTGATAAATCCAGTTGATTGCAGTCATGAGAAGGACAATTTAAATTTGTTTTTCTAAATTTTGAACATTAAACAATTCCTTCCAATGTCTCTCATTAAATAATGAAGAAGGGTGATAAAAACTGATTTACCAGACAGAAGAAAAACCAAACAGTGATGGGCTGTGAGGGTAAAAAAATAGTAATAATTTCTATGTGTGGTTTGAGTAATCATTCTCATTATTTTAAAATGAAATTATTAAAATCCAAACCATAGTGTGTGCATTCTTGGAGCTGTGTCAGCATTAGCTGAATATAAACAAAAATGTCAACTATATTATTTTGTAAATTTCCAATGTATATTGGAAGTCGTGAATCTATGATCATAATGACAATATCCACCCCTTTGCATTACTTGCTGTGTGGCACACCTCTTTCTCTTTGAAATATTCTTGATCTTAATCGATGTTGGTACCTTATATACAGCAGAGGTCAACAAACATTTTCTGTAAATTGGCAGATAATAAATATTTTAGACTCTGGGGCCATGCAGTCCTGTGGCAACTACTTAACTCTGCCATCATAGCAGGAAACAGCCATAAATAATTTGAAAACAAATTAGCGTTGTAATAAAAATGTTATTTATGGACATTGAAATTTGAGTGTTATATAATTTTTGTGTAATGAAATATTATTGTTCTTTAGATTTAAAAAAAGATTTTATTCATTTTTTTTTAGACAGAGGTGAAGGGAGGGAGAAAGAGAGGAAGAGAAACATCAATGTGTGGTTGCCTTTCATGCACTCCCAACTTGGAACCTGGCCTGCAACCCAGGCATGTGTCCTGACTGGGAATCAAACTGGCGACCATTTGGTTCTCAGGCCAGCACTTGGTCCACTGAGCCACACCAGCCAGGGCTAGATTTTTAATCAATAAAAAATGTAAAAACCATTTTTAGCTCCTGAGTATACAAAAATAAAGTGGTGGGCCTGATTTGGCCTGTGGCCCTGGTTGCCAACTGGTGACATAGTTCGTAGAAGAGCCCCTCAAGCGTTTTTAGTAGCTGGGTAACAATCTGAAGCTCGCCGACGGTGACAGACATAGAACAATAATCAGCCTAAGTACATTTTTATACTTAACAAATAAACCATACTAAGTTTTTATAAAGATAAATAGACGCAGTACACCAACAAAGAGAACCAGTCAATTTTTTTTTCTAAACAGAAAAAAAAAATAGGAAGATTGGGGCACAGAAAATAAAAAATAAAATTCACAAAGCCACACAGATTAATCTATCATACTCTCTGGTTTTCTGTGGGAGAACTATTATAATTGGTTTAATATAGGCACACTGTTTTCTATATTAAAACTACCTAAACTACAAAGCAGAGGCATGCTGGTTCCCTTTGAAAAGATGAAATTTTGATGGGCAACAAGGGATTTAACAGAAGATGTGTTTTTCCCTTCACTCCACAAACTTGGGTGACAGGTCTCTTTTTGAAGGTAGAGAAAGCACAGTCCATGCAATATAGCTCTCAGGTACGCCTCACGAGACAGACTATGGGCAGTGTGGCAAAACTGTCCAAAAACCGAGACTAGCCCTTTGTTACCAAAAACATCAGAGGAAAGTAATAGGCCTGCTGGAGCCATTCTTTTTTATTTATTCATGTAAAAGTACAAAAATACTTGCTAGTGAAATGAATCAAGCAGGTATTTCTACGGGCCACAGAGTCCTAATGAAAACTGCAATGCTTTTTATATAAGAATTACAGCTTAGAAAGGGAGGCTTTGAGTTTCTTAAGGCTTGTAGCCTTTTTAAAATAAACTTTTCATTAAAGTACAACACATGTACAGAAAATTACACACATTATTAATACACAGATTAATGAATTTTCAGAGTGAACTCACCTGTTTAACCATCATCAAGATCAACAATTAAACATTCATAGCACCCTAAATCCACTCTCTGTACCCCTTCTTAGTCACTGCTGTCACAAAATATAATGTTACCTTGACTACTAACACAGTATATTAATTTCATTTTACGTTTCAATAAAGAGCTTGTTTTTGGCCTCTCTCTGTCTCTGACTCTCTGTCTCACCCACCCTGTCGTCAGACACGCTCCTCCAGCCGGGTCCACATCTCAGCTCCTGCTTGTGGGGCCTTGCCTTTCCATCCTGCCTCCTGAGGTAAAGCTAGAGCCCCAGGAAAAAAGTCAACAGCTATTATTTGTTTGTACTGATTTTGTTTTTAGCTTCCTTTCCTGAGTTAGGGAGGCCCTTGCACCACTGGCTACCACAGGCGGGCTTGCCCGGGGCTGGTCTTCCATACCTGACATGGAACACTTGTGGACCTGACAGTTTAATGCCTACAGCCACCACCTTCTCCCAGACCTGGAATTCAGGGTCATTTTGCATTTCCATGCTTGTTCTTGAATGGGGATATTATTTTTATATTTCAGATTGTCTGAGACTTTTTTTTTTCTTTTGACATTCACCTGTCATTACTCTTTGGTTAGAGTGATGGTTGCGGGGAGGAGGTAGGTGAGCATGATTCACTGCAACATGTTCCGTGCTCCTGAATGATCCACAGTTTTATCATATGCAGACACTGGCAAATTTTTCTCCCTTCTTCTTTATTTCTTAAGAAAGAAATTTTTTAAGAAACTTTGTTAAATTTTTTCTTTTTAAACTTTATAAATTCATCCCATGTTATTGTCTTGTTTCCCTTCCTAGGACTAGGACTTCCAGTGTAATATGTACTAGAAGCAGTGATCATTCTCATTTGTTGCCATATCTGAGTGGAATGCTTCTAATGTTTCCACTTAGTGTACCAATGTACCAATGTATCAATGTATCAATGTATCAATGTATCAATGTATCAATGTACCAATAAGTGTAATCATGGCTGTGAGCTTTTGTTAGACATCCTTTCTTAGGTTAAGCACTGCTGAGTGCTGAATTTTATCATGTATTTTTTCCCTACATCTGTTGAGATGAGCATGTGTTTTTTTTCTTTCATTTGTTTATATGTGAATTACATAATACATTTTCTAATGTTAAACCATCTTCTTGTTCTTTGAATTAAACCTTCCTTGGCCATGACGTGTTTTTGTTCTGTTATCCTTGATCAATTTAGATTTGCTGATATTTTATCTAGGATTTTTATGTCTATGTTTAATAGTGAATTAGTGACCTTTAGTGTCTCTTTCTCCTTATGTTTTTGTCTTGCTGTTTTGGTTGGTTTTATAGAATGATTTTTGTATTCTCTCTCCCCCCTTTCTAGTTTCTGGAACAGTGTGTGTATAAAACAGAAATTGAAGGATTGGAAGAGTGTTTCTCTAAAACAGTCTGGCCTGGTAGAGTTTTTTTGATAAACGGATTTAAAAGTACTGTTTCACTTCTAGCCAAGATGGAGGCATAGATAGACACACTGTGCCTCCTCGCACAACTGAAAAGACAGCAACAATTGAAAAATAAAGAACAATCAGAACTGACAAGAAACAGAACTGTGTGGAAACCCAACAACCAAGGAGTTAAAGAAGACACATTCATCCAGACCAGTAGGATGGGCAGAGACTGGCCCAGAGGAGAGGACTTGTGGCGAGGCGGTGGCTGGAGGACCAGGGTGGGTGAGGTGGTGGGAGGTGGGCCCAGTGAGGTGCCCGGCTGTGGAGCAGGGTGCGCAAGGCTGCAGCGGGAAGACCTGGCCACGTGGTGGATTGCAGACTGGGTGGTCCCACATTTGAGTGTAATAATCCAGGAGAAACAAATGGGGAGCAAGACAGACTGCACAATCCAGGGCTCCTGCATGGGGAAATAAATCCTCAAGCCACTGAAAATACCTGTGGGGGTTGAGGTGGCGGGAGAAACTCCCAGCTTCACAGGAGAGTTTGTTGGAGAGCCCCACAGGGTCCTGGAATGTACACAAGCCCACCCACATGGGAATCAGCATCAGACGAGCTCAATTTGCTTGGGGAAGCTGAGGAAGGGACTGAAATCCAGCAGAGAGCAGAGCAAGTGTCATTGTTCCCTCTCAGACCCCTCCCCCACATACAGCACCACAACACAGCAACGTGGGTTACCCTACCCTGGTGAACACCTAAGGCTCTGCCCCTCACTACGTAACAGGTATGTCAAGACAAAAAAAAATGGCCCAAATGAAAGAACAGATCAAAACTCCAGAAAAAATACAACTAAGCAATAAAGAGATAGCCAACCTATCAGATACACAGTTCAAAGCACTGGTGATCAGGATGCTCACAGAATTGGTTGAATTTGGTAACAAATTAGATGAAAAAATGAAGACTATGCTAAGTGAAATGAAGGAAAGTGTGCAGGGAACCAATAGTGATGGGAAGGAAACTGGGACTCAAATCAACGGTGTGGACCAGAAGGAAGAAAGAAATATCCATCCAGAAAACAGTGAAGAAACAAGAAGTTCAAAAAATTGAGGAGACGCTTAGGAACCTCCAGGACATCTTGAAACATTCCAACATCTGAATTATTGGGGTACCAGAAGGAGAAGAGGAAGAGCAACGAGAGGAAACGCTATTTGAACAAATAATAAAGGAGAACTTCCCCAATCTGGCAAAGGAAATAGACTCCCAGGAAGTCCAGGAAGCTCAGAGAGTCCCAAAGAAGTTGGACCCAAGGAGGAACACACCAAGGCACATCATAATTACATTAGCCAAGGTAAAAATGAAAGAGAGAATCCTAGAAGCAGCAAGAGATAAGGGGACAGTCACCTACAAAGGAGTTCCCCTCAGACTGTCAGCTGATTTCTCAAAAGAGACCTTACAGGCAAGAAGGGACTGGAAAGAAGTCTTCCAAGTCATGAAAGGCAAGAACCTACATCCAAGACTATTTTATCCAGCAAAGGTTTCATTTAGAATAGAAGGGCAGATAAAGTGCTTCTCAGATAAGGTCAAGTTAAAGTAGTCATCATCACCAAGCCCTTATTATATGAAATGTTAAAGGGACTTATCTAAGAAAAAGAAGATAAAAAACATGTATAGTAAAATGACAGCAAACACAATTATTAACAACCACACCTAAAGCAAAAACAAAAGAAACTAAGCAAACAACTAGAACAGGAACAGAACCACAGAAATGGAGATCACATGGATGGTTAGCAACAGGGTAATGGGAGGAGGAGAGAGGGGGAATAGGTACAGAGAATAAGTAACATAGATGGTAGGTAGAAAATAGAAAGGGGGAGGTTAAGAATAATATGGGAAATGTAAAAGCTAAAGAACTTATAAGTATGACAGATGGACATGAACTAAAGGGGGGGAATGTGGGTGAGAGGAGATGTGCAGGGTGGAGGGGAGTGAAGGGGGAAAATGGGACAACTGTAATAGCATAATCAATAAAATATATTAAAAATACTATTTCAACTCTTCTGTGGTATACTTTCACTTTTGACTTGTATTTATTTCTTTCTTGAATATGCTTCAGTAAGCCATATTTTTATAAGACTATTCATTTTCTAGGAAAATGTATTTTAAATTTTTGGGTGGGTATATAAACATGCTTTTTTATGGTTTCAAAATCTAATGTATTTATATCCCATTTTCTATGTTGTTTACTTGTGAATTTCCTTATTTTTCTTACTCTATCTTATCAAAAGTACATCTAGTTCATTATTCTTTTCAAAGAACTAACTCTTGGTGTTTATTGTCTGTGGCAGGTACTATTCTAGGCAATAAAGTAAAAAAAACAATGGATAAAAATTTCTGCCTTTTCTGAAGGTATATTCTAATCTGGGGAAATCAATATACTAAAGTTTAGTAGTAAACTAATATATTTCATAGTATATTAGAAGGTGATTATTACAATAAAAATAAACAGGTCAAGATAAGGAAAATTGAAAGAACTGGGGTGCGGCATGTAGGCAGGTTGCAATTTAAATAGGGTGGTGAGAAGAAATAAGACAAAGTTCAACATCAAAAACTTGAAGGAGGAGAAAGAATTAGCTATGTGGATGTCTGCGGAGAGACACTCCAGGCTGGGAGGAAGAGCTAAGAAAACCTTTTAGTACTTTAGTCCTTAGATACAATTTTGGATTTTATTCTAAATGAAATGCCTTGGAGGTTTTGCACATAGATATGATACGATTTGGCTTACTTTTTTGGCTACCGTGTTGCAAATAGTTAAGAGTGAAGAGGGCACCGAGAGTGAAGGCAGAAAAAGCAGCTGCAGACCTCTGCAGTAATTCTGAGAGATGGTGGCTTGGACCAAGGAGGTAACAGGGCATGCTAGTCCTCAACTTATCCATGGTTTCTCTCTCTGTAGTTTCAGCTACTCTCCATCAACTACAATTAGAAAATATCAAATGAAAAATTCCATAAATAAACAATTCATAAGTTTTAAATTGTCACCTGTCTTGGCACCTTGCTCCATCTCATCACACAGGCATGCTATCTCGCATCGTCACAAGAAGGAGGGTGAGTAAAGGACAGTAAGATATTTTGAGAGAGAGAACACACTCACATAACTTTTATTACACTATTGTCAAAATTGTTCTATTTTATTATTAGTTATTTTTGTTAATCTCTTACTCTGCTTATAAACTAAGCTTTATCATAAGTTAGAAACAAACATACATACATATATGTATGTCTGTAGGGAGGTGTCAGACAGGTCTACAGGAGGTTTGGCTTTAGCAACGGTGATGCTAATGTTATTTATATTCCAATGTCTTATTTAATTTCAACTACTTCCTTTATAGTTCTTCTCCTATATTTTATTGGGAGTTGTTGCATTGTTCTTCTTCAACTTTCTGAGTTACAAAATCCGGTTACCTAATCTATGTCTTTCCCTTGATTCCCCTAGAATTTGCACTCGAGGGTATGTGTATCCCTCCCCCCCCAGTGCTGCTTCAGCTATTTGCTCAAGTTTTTTTATATGTACTTGTTTTATTGTCAGTTTGTAATGTTTTGTAGTCTCCATTGTGATTATTCGTTAACCCAAAGGGGTTTTTAAATCTCCAAATGTATTTTAAAATAATTTTATTACTTTTTATTTAGATAATGTCTGGATAACATTGATGCTTTGATGTTTGTTGGGCCTTGCTTCATGATATACAATGCTCTTTTAATGGGACTCAATTTTCTGACGGAAATGGGTTTCCCTATATGACCAATACAACAAAGTTACTCATTTATGCTGTTCAAGTCGAGTGCTCGAGCAGAGTCCTTTCATCTTTTCATTAAAAAGGCAGAGGCTAGGGAAAGCAGATGAGACTGCAGAGGCAGGCATCTTTCTTGTTTACTGCGGGAACTCGAGTCGTGGGCTGAGGGGCATGGTGACTGCAGGTCAGGGTGTCCAAGAAGGGACATGCAAGAGCTCTTGAAGACCAGCCTGGGGCGCAGACACAGAGGTGGTAAAACCACTGGTGTACCTCAGTACTCTCTAAGGGTGGGGTTCTCACAGTACACTCATGGTACCATGTCCCAGTATACCCCAGATCCATGTACTTCTTGAATATGTGCTCCCCAGTTACCCCCGAAGGCAGATAACCATTCCAGAAAACTGAAATTGCTGTCTTCTCCATGAAGGCGCGTGCACAAACCAGAGACTGCAGTCTGGGCCTTTCTAATTCTGTAGATGCCTTTGTCCCAGGGCATTAGTGCAAGGTAGCCCCTAACAGAGCTGTGGCTGGGCCGGTGTGTGCCTGCTGCCACTGCTGGCCCATCCCTCTGAGCCGTTAGCTTGCCAGAGCTGCCATAACAAAATGCCACAGACTGGGTAGCTTAAACAACAGAAGTTTATCAATACTCTGTTCTGGAGGCTAGAAATCTGAGATCAAGGTGACACTGGGGTTTTTCCTTCTGCAGACTGTGAGGGAAGGATCTCTTCTGGGCCTCTCTCCTTGGCTTGTAGATGGCCATCACTCCATGTGTCTGCTCATGGTCTTTGTTCTGTGTCTGCGTCTAAATTTCCTCTTCTTATAAGAAGAACAGTCATATTGGATTAGAGCCCACTCCAATGGCCTCCTTTTAATGTAATTACTTCTGTAAAGATCCTGTCTCCAAGTAGAGTCACATTCTGAGGCACTGGGCATTAAGTCTTCAACATATGGATATATAGGGAGACTCAATTTAGTCTATAATAGTATCCATTTCACTGTGGCCTTTAATCTTCTATAGTAGAGCAATACTCATATTTATCTCTGGCATTTTATCTTTAAACAAGAAAAATATTCACAGATTTTGGTGTCAGAAATGATGCCGCTTTTAATAAATGAGTCTGATTATATGTAGAAATTTATATATATAATATACTTGTATTATATATATAAATTTAGCTGATATATAATGCTTGTAAGACCCTGTTTCTTCCTTTCAAAAACATCATTATTTCTTTTTCTTTTTTAAAATTATACATTATAGTTTATGCTATTACAGTTGTCCCAGTTTTTCCCCCTTGGTCCCCCTCTGTACAGGCCACCTACTCCCTCAGGCAATTCTTACACTGTTGTCCATGTCCATGGGTAAGAATACCTTTCTTTCTTTTAAGAACAGATGACCTCACCTTGGACTGCTCTTGTTTTGTTTTGTTTGTTTTATTTCCCTCCAGGAGATACACCTCCTACCCAACAGCCAAAGTGCACTGACTTCCAAAATGCCAATCTCCTCCGAGGCACCAACCTCAGAGTCCAGTTCCTTCTCTTCACCCCTTCAGATCCCAGCTGTGGGAAGCTAGTTGAAGAAAGCAGAGACCTCCAAAACTCTGGGTTCAATGCCACTCTGGGAACCAAACTACTTATTCATGGATTCAGGTAGGAGCAAACCAATCAACAAGATTGCTTGTGCTGAGAGGTAGAAAGTGACCACTGGAAGTTAGTGGGGAGTGAGAGGAGAATAAATTTATTGGCAGTCACATGTCCATTCCTCACCTCCTGCTGTCTGTAAAGGTGTCTCATGTCAACATTATGTTGTTCATTCTCATTGGTCATATATGTTACTCCTCCTCTCAGTCCTTGTCTACACTCTGTTGAACGATAAATATGTGTGATCTTGGACAAATCACTCCAGCATGTGGAGCCCGGTTTCCGTATGGAATAAAAGGAAGGCTATAGAGATGACCTCAGAGATCATGTCCTCCCTCAGGCGTTGTTATGATTCATCTCACCCAGTGAAGTCATGGGCTTTTTACAGTCACTCAGGGCTAACAGCCTGGGTTTTTGTTTTTGTTTCTATCTAGAACTTTATTTTACTTCCTCCTTTCTCTCCTGGTTTTATGACCTAAGAAACTTTCCACCTATGGAGGCTATGTTTATCATACCCAGAAGCTAGACACTTCTTCAATTTCTTTGGTGACCTGCAGTCTAATTTTTGTTGTGATATATTGTCACTGAGTCTCAATTTATTCCCCTTCCTTTCAATATCTTCTCTCAAAAGCCCACTGACAAGGCCAGAACAGATTGCTGGGAGGAAAGAGGGAGAGAATGTGGTAAAAGAGTAACATCATAGAGCAGCTAGAGTTGGGAGCACCTGATGAAGAGGTGGACACAGAGGCACTGCACAAAGGATCACCATTTCCTCACCTCTGGGTTTTCTCTGCCCCTCAAATACCTGGACTCTGTGGACCCAGTCACACCTTTCCTTAGACATCCATCCCTCCTCACTCTTGTGCCAAAGTCTGTCCCCTAGCAAATCGTACATTTAGCCGCCATCCAAGACTGAGTGTGTACCCTCAACCCAGGGACAGCTGGTAGATCTGGAAAGTGCATCAGGCTCCAAGATTGCCCAAAGCCATATTCCATGGCAAATGCCCAGTCTGTGCTCCTCTGTCCCCGTGAGCCCACTTGGATTGTTCCTGTACTGTGTGGGCCACTGAGAAGACTTCTTTCCTGATCCCAATACCTTGGAAAAAAAACTTCTGAATTTTTAAAAATCATTCTCTTTTTCCTAAAAAAGTGTTATTATACTGTAAGATCCAGAATGATAGGGACTATATTTTACTTTTTTAAAATATCTTACAAAGCACCTAGCATACTGCCTAGCCCATTTGTTGAATAAATGAAGGAATAAATAAATGAACCCATAAATAAAAACAACTTCAAGGAAAGTGCTGTATTCTAGAATGAGAGTAAGATAGCAAATCTTAACTCTAACATACAACTCTATGTTTTCTTTCTCCCGAATAACACAAGTGGGGCCTGTACATATGGTTTGTGTTGTTTATGCCTTGCACAAAGGGCTGATGGTTGGTGGGGCTGGAATGCAGCCTGGGTTCTGAGCCCCAGCAGGAAGCTGCATCCACCTGGACAAAAGGCTCCCTGTCATAACCCACACAAAGGCTCTGTATGTGCAGATAGAAGCCCTCCTCATTTTTGGATTATGTCCTCCCTTAGCTCAGAGTGCTGTGTGATTTACTACCCATATATCCCGTCTCTAGTTTTGACTTTTTTTCTGGGTTTATTCTGTTAACAGTTTTCTATGACCGTGGATTTGGTAGATAATTTTTTTACCCTGTCTTGGCCCCATGTCTAGGGCTTTAGGAACAAAGCCTTCCTGGATTGAGAAATTCATTGGTGCCCTTCTGAGGGCAGCAGACACTAACGTCATTGCCGTGGACTGGGTGTACGGCTCTACAGCTGTCTACTTCTCAGCTGTGGAAAATGTGGTTAAGCTGGGACTTGAGATCTCCAGTTTCCTCAGTAAACTCCTGGTAGGTGCAGAAGTGCTTAGGGTGATTTGGGCTGCTTATGGAGGGCATAGGGGTTAGAAGGAAAGAAGTAACAAACACATGAGGAGGAACTTTAGGGTGGAAGCAGAACCACCTAGTGACTTATTAGTCTCTTCTGAGCCTCCTCTCCTTTCTAAATTGGGTTCCTGCATGTCTGCAGGGGGGAGCTGATGGCTGGCTTCAGTTACCCCTACCTCACAGGGAAAGTGTGACCCTGTGAGGCCAGGGGTTGCTGGGGCCCAAATGCAACCCACTGTAAACATTCATTGTAGGTGCTGGGTGTGTCGGAGTCCTCCATCCACATCATTGGAGTGAGTCTGGGGGCCCATGTTGGGGGCATGGTGGGACATTTCTACAAAGGCCAGTTGGGATGGATCACAGGTAACATTCTTCCCCACCCATCCTTTCAGGTTTAGAGAAAGAGCAAGAGAATGTCCTGGAAATGACTTTGCTGAGGCAAGCAGAGGGGAGTGTGGAACCTTTTGGTATTATGATTAAGTCACCTATGGCCAGTAAAATTCATTTATTGTGGCCCCTTTTGCATAAAATGGTGGTGTGTTATTATTGCATGATCTCTAACATCAGTGTTAGGAGCCACAAGGTTCTTCCTAAACCTCAGTTTCTACATCTGTAATGTAAAAAATTAATAAACCACTTTTAAATGGAGCCAGAACTGATATTCCAGAAGACCTGCTTTGTACCTCTTATGCCTACAACCTTTGGAATGTTAAAACAGGGAAAAACAACCTTTGGACTGGGCCTAAAGCAACACTGTCCCAAAGAACTGTTTGTAAGGATAACAGGAAAGCAGATATTATGACTATCAGACTGATCACTACCCAACTGAAAATTAAAAACACTGTTTAAAATTAGTGTCACGGTGTTAGCTCATCTGCATCATCAGAAATGCCTTGCTTCTACTGAGGTAATAGTTCCCTTTCACTTTCTCATGAATGCCCTTTGCCTTTGTCTCCTGATTGGAAGACTAATTGGGTTTCTGCCTGAATCAGTGACTGCATTAGTGCCTCTCACCTTGAAAGACCTTTTATTTTAGGTTAATAGTAAGATGGTTTGTAACAGCTCCTATTAGGATATCTTCTTGACCCACTGTGGAAATCGCCTTTAAATGGTGTGCTAAATACTTGCAAAAGGGTAGTATGCTTTGTGTTTCAGGAGCTATCCTCAGTTAATCAGGGGCCAGAGTTGTGTGGCAATTACCCTGCAATGGGACAACCGTGAATCATGTTCTAAGAGTCCCTCAGAGGAGTCCCAGTGGGGTGAAACCTGCTTGCCCAAAGTGATACTCCATTCATTAAAAATGTTCTTCATTCTATGACTCAATTTTCCATTCCTTCAGTGCACTTTCTGTGATCTCCCAAATAAGCTACTTGCTTTTTGAATCCTTGTCTCAGGGTTTACTTTTTGGGGAGGAGAGGGGAAGGGCTCCAAACTAAGACATGAAGATAGTAATATTTCTTTCACTGTGTGTTGTGAGGACTAGGGTGTGTAAAACTGCCTGGCATCATGCCTGGCTCATAATACCTGCTCAAAAAATTAAAGCTCTTGTTACTACTACTTGAGGATTAGTATCACCCACATTAAGCCTCACCAAATGGTTGGTGTTATCGAGCTCATTGGACAACCAGAGAAGCTGGGTCATTGGGAAGTTACAGACAGTGGAGTGGGGGTCCCTGTGTATAGGGGTTCTGAGTTAGTTTTCTACCCTTGGGGTCCTTGTTGAGAGACACTAAACTGGAATGGCTGCCAAGGTAGGTGTGCTGTGGATCTGTGAGGGTTCCTGTGGCTGAGAGGAAAGGGGGCCTTGACATCAGCCTATCCTTGTAGGCCTCGACCCTGCTGGGCCAGAGTACACCAGAGCCAGCCTGGAGGAGCGCCTGGATGCTGGAGATGCCCTCTTTGTGGAAGCCATCCACACAGACACCGACAGTGAGCTGGGAGGGCCTTCTTGGGCTGGGGCAATGAGCACAGGGCAGGGGTGGGATGGCAGCAGTAGCTGTGTGGCCCTGGGCAGATTCCCTCCCCCTCTGAGGTTCTATTGCACAGTGAGGCATTCCCCAGCATCTTGCAGCTCTGTCATTTTCTTTTCTTAAATTTTACTTATTTTATTTTTTATTTTTCACTCTGTCATTTTCTTAGCAGTGAGATGAATGGATCTGTTTTTAGCTAGCAGCAGGAAGGAGATTTCTCATTTGTGGAGCAGTTTCACTCTCTGATTCAGCACTAACCCTTGTTCTGAGGTAGTGCCAGGGCAGGGACTGCTGCCTGGCTGGTGTATGGGAAAGTCATGCTGCTTTTTTAGGGTGACTGTGCCTTAGCCCCAGGGCATCGGGACATTCTACTCCTGGGGTCTATTCTTAGGCCTCCTGGGGGATGAACCCTGTTGTTCAGCCCAGCAAAGAATGAAAATTCCCCCCTCCAGCAATGACAGGCATAGGAAAGACCCTCAACTCTAAATCCACTCTGACCAAATTAAGCTCTTCTGACCAGCTGGGAAAGGGGTCGGGCATTTCTCCTCATTTCAACTCCCTAACAAATGCCCATGAGTCTGTGCCAGGCCCAGTGCTCAGTGTGATGGGTATGGGAGGAAATAATGTCGGTCCTTACTGAAGTGTTTGCAGTTCAATTGAGAGTTGTCCATGCTTCACTCCCTTTGGCCTTCTTTTAGCATCCAACATTCACAGATTGATGATTCTGAAAGAAGTCCATGCAATCATATTGGTCAAACCTCTCTTTCCTTCATCTCACAGACAGGCAACTCAAGCCCATAGGCTTCTGCCAAGCTGCTGGGTTAATTAACCATGCTAATAAGTGAAACTAATCCCTTTTGTCCCTAAATTTGCTAAATAGGTGACTTTTAGGTCCTTATTTACCTGAACTAGGCCTCTTAGTGCCCTTCAAAGTTAAAGCTTCTTCTTAATGTGACCAAAGGAAGAAAGACTCATTCCATTCATCTCTTCATCTCAGTCTTTACTGAGCTATGTAGCAGGTGCTGAGAACACTGCTGGGAACAGACATCTGATAAGGTCCCTGCTCATGTGGAACCCACAGGCTAATTGGGCAAGCATCCATTCATTTATTCCTTCAATGAATATTTATTAGGCACTCATGTGTGCTGGGTACTGCACTGATATTGGGGATATAACAGAAAATAGACAGGTGAATGCCCTGCTGTTGTGGAGTTCACAAACAAGTGAACAGACATGACAATTACACATTGTGATTATGATAAGGAAGGATATGAGGTCAAGGGTGACTTAGGTCAGAGGTCTACTTTAAGTAGAATTATTGAGGAAAGTCTGTCCAAAGACATGATATTTGATATAAGATTTTGCAGCTGTGAATGAGTCAACCCTGAAAAGGGCTGGTAGAAAAACATTCTATCACCAAAATGAGAGCCTGGACAAGGGTGGGGACAGGGCAGAGTGCACGGTGTGAGTGAGGCACTGAGTCATGTTGGGGAAGAGGGCACAGGACCAGAATGGCCATGGCAAGGGGTTTAATTTTTATTGTACGGTCAGTGACAACAGGGCAGTGATGTAGATTTCTTAAGAGATTACTGCAGCTGCTATGCAGAGAATGGACTGCAGGAAACACTAAGGGAAGCTGAGAAACACATTAGAAGAACAAGACATGATGGTGAGAGATGATAGTGGCTTGGGCAAGTAGAGACAGAAAGAAGTAGAAAGATTCAAAATATATTTTGGAGGCAGAGCTTACCAGAAAGGTGATATAGGGAGTGAGGAAAAGGGAGGAATCAAGAATAACTTCTAGCTTCTGGGATCAGACATCTGGCAAGTTCAAGATGGTATGGCCATAGACTCAAGGATAACTTCTAGGTCATTGCTTAATCCCTGGGTAGATGGCATTAAACAAATAATACAATCAATTGCTTACAATAATGATAAATGATATGAAGGAGAAAATCAGTGTCTTTGGCAGCTGGATCTGACCCAGATTGAAGGGTAGATATGATCGTGATAATGAAATGAGGTCTATAGTCTCTCACATGCACCTCTTTGTAGCCAGGTTGTATTTCTGCTGTCAGGAGAGCACAAAAGTATGTGGGAGAATGTGAAAGTGTGGTCCCAAATACATACATCTGAACTATTGCTTGAAACAAAATAGAAACTATTACTCAAGGAAATTTACCAAACATATAACATTTACTGATTTATTAAAACTTTTGCTCAGGGACATTTTTCTTGATTTTATTAGGCAACTATGAGCATCTTCTTATGAATCTATTCTGTGCTTCCTTTCAGCAAACCCTCTTTAGGAAACTAAGGGCTGGTGCTGCTTTCTCAGAGCACTTAGCAGTGAGGAGGGGACTCATTCAGCACTGAGAGTGGGTGGGCTCATAAAGCCACACCTCAGGCTCTGTTGCCAGTGGGCTCTGCTATGGGACCTAGACAATATGCCCCTGTAGTAAGAACAGGTAATGGGGTTCTGTCTTCTTTCAGATTTGGGTATTCGGATTCCTGTCGGACATGTGGACTACTTCGTCAATGGAGGCCAAGACCAACCTGGGTGTCCCACCTTCATTCATGCAGGTCAGAAAGCCAGAGAGAGTTGGTTTTTAGCTTCCCCAGAGACCAGAATTCTCCAACAGCCTTTGTGTTGAGTCAGCTAGTGTGGGCCACAGAAGGTCTCCCTTCTTGCACCCTTTACTATGTCCATAATGCCTTACTTGGCACTTATTGAACAAATGTCTTTGGAGTCCAGGAATTCTGGGGGAAAAGTGACTGAAATTAAAAGCCTGCACCATTGGTATGCTGCCCTCCCCACTTCTTAGGCCCTGACATGATATATCATCACTCCAGGCAATAGTATCCTTTCTTCTTGGGCCCTGCTTTGTGGCATAGTCCACACTAGCTAAATCCTCAGTGGAGACTAGCTGTGGCAGAAGTAGACCAATGTGCCCAAAGCTAGGTAGCCGAAGGATCAATTTACTACATGACCATATCCCCAAACTCACTAAATTTAACAACTCTCCAAACTTGTTTTCAAGATCATCTTCTTGAGTACATTTAATAAATATACATTTCTTTTCTTTTCAAGTATATTTATTGATTATGCTATTACAGTTTTCCAAATTTTTCCCCCTTTACCCCCCCGACCCCCCAATCCTCTAGCATTCCACCCCCTTAGTTCATGTCCACGGGTTGTACATTTAAGTTCTTTGAGTCCTCTGTTTCCTATACCATTTTTATCTCTATTTTATTCCTACTAATTATGTTTCTTCTTTCCTGTACCTTCCCCCCCTATTCTTCCCTTCCTCCTCCCCACTGAAATCCCTCTGTGTGCTGTCCATTTCTCTGATTCTATTCCTGTTCTGGTTGTTTGCTTAGTTTTAGTGTTTGTTTCTTTTAGGTTCATTTGTTGATAGTTGTAAGCTTGTTGCCATTTTATTGTTCATATTTTTTATCTTCTTTTTCTTAGATAAGTTCCTTTAACATTTCATATAATAATTGCTTGGTGATGATGAACTCCTTTAACTTGACCTTATCTAAGAAGCACTTTATCTGCTCTTCCATTCTAAATGAAAGCTTTGCTGGACAGAGTAATCTTGGGTGTAGGTCCTTGCCTTTCATACCTTCAAATACTTCTTTCCAGCCCCTTCTTGCCTGCAAGTTTTCTTTTGAGAAATCCGCTGATATCCTAATGGGCATCCTTCGGTATGTAACTCACTCTCTCCTTTCCCCTTGCTTCTTTTAGGATTTTCTCTTTTTCTTTAATCTTGGGTAACTTGATGATGTGTCTTGGTGTGTTCCTCTTTGGGTCCAGCTCCGTTGGTACTCTCTGGACTTCCTGGAAGTCTATTTCCTTTGCCAGATTGGGGAAGTTTTCCTTCATTATTTGTTCGAATAAGTTTTCAATTTCTTGCTGTTGTTCTTCTCCTTCTGGTACCCCTATAATTCGAATATTGGAATGTTTTAGGTTGTCCCAGAGATTCCTCAGCCTCTCTTCATTTTTTCAGATTCTTATTTCTTCATTCTGATCCAGTTGGATGTTCATTTCTTCCTTTTGTTCCAAATCGTTGCTTTGAATCCTGGTTTCTTTCCTGTCACTGTTGGTTCCTTGAATATTTTGCTTTATTTCATTTTGAGTATCTTTCATTTTTCCACCAAGCTCAATCAGTTCTGTGAGCCAGAAGGAGGTTACCAGGGCTTTAAATTCTCCATCAGATAGGTTGGTGATCTCCTCCTTGCTTAGTTCTCTTTCTGAGGCTTTGCTCTGTTCTTTCATTTGGGCCATATTTCTTTGTCTTGGCACAGCTGATAAGTTGTAAGGGGGCAGGCCCTTAGGTATTCACCCAGGCAGGGCAACCCTCTTTGCTGCCTGTGGGGGAGGGCCCAGAGAGGGAATAGTGCGGCTCACGTGCTCACCTGCTCACCTCTATTGCACTTTTCAACAAACTCTCAGGTGAGACTGGGAGTTTCTCCCACAGCAACAACCCTAGCCATAGCCCACAGTCAGCTCTGAGTCTCAGTCTTCCCCTTAAGTCAGCCCCATTGAGTTCGGCAGACAACCCCACCCCCATGGTCTGCTGACTTGCTATGGTTTTTCTGAGTTGGCCCACACTGTCCGCCACCTTACGGTCTGGTTGTCCTGGCTGATTTTTTCTTTAATTTCTTGGTTGTTGGAGTTCCATGCAGTTTGATTTTCTGGTGCTTTTGGTAGTTTATTGATTTTAGATTGGTTGTTATCCTCCTTTTGGTTGTGTAAGGAAGCAAAGGGTTTCTGCCTACACCTCCATCTTGGCTGGACCATTTCTTTTCTTCTAAACGTTTCCAAATGTTCTTTATGAATATACATATATTCATTGCATACATTCTTAGCATCATTTTTAAAACACCAAATTTGTCAAAAATTAAGTATTAAGGATTGTTTAATCTTCTTATATTCTTATGAATATAGGCAAACTATCAGCATTTCATATAGAGTTTATCCTGATTTCTTATTTACTGTCTTTTTAGTGTCTTCTTTTTAACCAAACTTTTGACATTTTAAGGATTCTTTTGACAATTGTATTAAGGAACCACTAATCAAATTTACCAAATTTACTGATTTTACAAAAACATGTTCCTTTTAACAATTTATAGGTTTTTCCAGCAATTTTGGTCAGACGAGATAGCGTGGTTTTAATGGCTTTTGAAAATTTCTGTGGTATTCAGTTGGCTACTCCTCATTTTTTTCTTCATAACACCATTTGAGAAAGGTTTAGTTTGTATCTCGCAGCCCCTTGTTGCAGCTAGAAGGAGCATGGCCATAGAATGTCCCAACCATGAGGGGACAGGAATATCAACACACAGCTCAGATGTGGTTGCTGATTCCAGAGTTGGAGGGCAGGGGTTGTCCTGAGGTGAAGGGAGAGTCTGACGATGCCAGAACCCTGGAGCTATGGCTCGCTACAGACCTCCTAACCCCAGCCAATTTATCCAGTGTGAGTTATGGCAAAAATTTAATTAGTAAACAAAAACAATAAGAAGAAAACCAAGTTTTTGTTGAATTGGGACATTTGGCAAGTAGAGCTTGTCAGTCACTTGGCCAGGCGAGCCCCAGCACACTGGCGTTGAGAGACTGACTGTGAACTAACTGCTTGCTGCTGACTCCTTTGATTGTCTCATTGGTGGGATGGGTATAATGAGATTGTAAAAAAATATTTTTGGTAAAAAATTGCCCATGTGAGTGATGATAAAGAAGGTAAAACGTGTGGACAGATATCCATTTTAATAAGTGGAGTCAGAATCACCAAGTCAGGATGCTACCATTTTCTGACAAAGAGCTCGTACAATCATGGAAGTACGGGTCTCAAATTCAGCAATTTTCTTCATAGATTACCATGTTTTTAGGACTAAAGGACATACTGAGCCATAATACGCACCTAGGTTTTAGAGGAGGAAAAGCAGAAAAAAGTTTTTGAAGCAAAAAATGTGGTAAAATATTTAATAACATAAATAACATAATATTTCACTAATGTAAATGTAAACTACATTTACCAGCCAGGTAAGCTACATTCGGACTATAAGATGCACACCCATTTTCCTCTCAAATTTGGGGGGTATGTCTTATAGTCTGAAAAATACAGTAAGCATAGGGTTTCTATGGAAAATGAAAATGAAAAGAAAGAATGCAGTAGCCATATCTATTCACATTCTTTAAATGTGGCTCAGGGGACATCCCACATATCTATAGCTGGTGGTCGCGTAAAATTTGGCATTTCCCTTTGCCTTGAACTGAAACCTTGGTTGTGTTTCCCTCCCTGTTCAGGCTACAGTTATCTAATCTGTGATCACATGAGGGCCGTGCACCTCTATATCAGCGCCCTGGAGAATTCCTGTCCTTTGATGGCCTTTCCCTGTGCCAGCTACAAAGCCTTCCTTGCTGGACGCTGCCTGGATTGTTTTAACCCTTTTCTGCTTTCCTGTCCGAGGATTGGTAAATGCTACCTCTTTGCCTCCTTTGACAATTTTGGGGAAGTTTAAGTCTTGCTAGTTGTCACCTCTTTAAGTCCTGATTACCTATGATCAAGAAATCTACCCAACTGGGATTTAAAAAATGTAATTGATGAGGTGTTCAGCCTGTTCTGACCTGGATGATGGCATTTGGCCCTCTGTGTCCCACCCCTCACTCTCTGTATTGCTGCCTGATGCCATACTCACCCTGCCCATACCCTTCACACACACAGCCCACCCCCTGTAAGCCCAGCCTCAGGGCATTCTCTGGAAACGTTGGTATAGTCCAGAGTCCCTGACCCCACTTGCAAACTAGAGGCTTGACACAGACCTTTTTAGCTGGGCCAGTCATTCATGAGTTCCTGATAGTTCCTAAATCAAGGTGTTGTGGAGAAGTCCCCAAGAGTGCCACATGTGGCCCACTTTAAAGGTGTGAAGCTATGGTGGCCACATAGCAGCTGGAGATATGCCTAACTGCTGGTCAACTTGGGCACGTTCCTGGATGATCCAGGCCAGTCTGAGAAGAAGAACACGAGTAAGGCTGAGGGAACTGGTGTCGACTCACCAGTCAGACCACTGCTGGGAACATCCTGGGGTTATACAGAATGAACAGCTCCAAGAAAAACTCTGGGAAGTGTAAATGTTCTTTCCCCTGCTTCTTTCTCTCACTTCCCATCCCTGGCTGCCACTCAGCTATAGCAGCCTGTCATTGCTTACATGAATGAAATGGATTTCTGCTTGACAAAATGGTAGAGTAGGGCAGCTTCCCACAGTAAAGCAAATCAATATTACTTCCTACTCTTTGGGCATAGGTCATGATTTCCCCCAGATGTGACAGACTGGCTGGTGTAACAAGCACTTCACATAGCACCTAGTCTCATCTCTCACTACACTTTCAGTGACACAGAACACCCTGGGGATGCTGACTACTTGTACTCCCAAGAGTACTTCATGTTTGCTTACCCTTTGTCCATGTACCCAAACTGTACTCTCTGCCCAGAATACCCTTCCCAGCTTGTCAACCACCATTCAGGTCAAGCACTTTTTACAGTTTTACTACACAGAAGATAAGCCATTAAACAGTTGTCATGTAAATTATTTTGCAAGTTGGAGGCATAATTTCAGATTTCTTAGAAACACCTCCTGAGAAAGGGCCAGGCGATCTACAGAATGTATTTCCTGTTTACTTGTGTGTTTATCCCAGACTGGCTGAGTTGCATGTATCCTGGAACACACCATAGATCATGGCATATAATGAGCATGCAGTGTAGCTGTTTGTAGATGAATGGGTGTGGGAATTAATTACTGTGTGGCTGGGTGCCATGGACCCTGAAAATGGCTCTCTCAGGGCTTTGCTGTCTTTGCTTCTTGACTTCCAGGGCTGGTGGAACAAGATGGTGTCAAGATAGAGCCACTTCCTAAGGAAGTGAGAGTCTACCTCCTGACTACTTCCGAGCCTCCATACTGTGGTGAGTTGGGGCAAAAAAGCATGGCTCAGCTCTGCCAGTGTGCTGTCCAGCAGAGTCCAGGGTTCCCTAGCTTGGGTTGTATCCATTCCAGCATGGTAGCCAAGGTAGAAGGTAAAGGACTGGAGCAAAGATGTCATGAGGGTTGGGGCACAGCCAGTAGTGGTCTGAAAAACAGAACTTTCAGAGCTAGTTTAATCCAGTACTCTATCAAGGATGAGGACTTGGGAGCATCTTCCTGTCTATGTACAGGAAGATCCTAGTTACTCCTCACTGTCCACAGAAATCTGCCCTCCAATGTGGGCTCTCTCAGAACAGTCTTTGGGTGTACCTCTGCCTCCTTCCTTCCTGCATACTTTTTTACCCCTCCCTTGGTGCCCACCCTATGTGTCTCCCACCCTGGCTGCTCTCCTAGGTCAGGGTCCCCGAGGAATACAGAACCTCGTTCTCTGCCTTCCTTTCCCTTCACATATTTTAACTCTTCTCCATTGCTTCTAACTACTACATTTTATTAAAGCTAAGGTGCCAGTGATTATAAAGATGCTAAATGGGAAAGAAAAGTGTGTCACAGAATCTATGAACTACATTATAGGCTGAAACGTCATATTTCCCTATGTGATGTGTACCTTAACAAGGGTGACTCTAGTTCCCGGTTGATGCTTGTCATCCTGGGACCCCATCTGGTTTATTGTGTTTACAAAACAGAAGTATGCTGGTCAGGAAGATACATTATATGGCCATGCTAATTCTGACTGATTTTCTGATCAACTTGTGTCTGATTGCTGGAAGGATCTCTGTGGCCCTACTTCCTGGCACTAGAAGGCTGAGTGCACTGTGTTAGGGAGCCCAAAGCCCATACTCTGTGGTCATACAGACTGGAATTTGAATCTCAGCTTCTTCACTCACCAGCTGTGTGATCAGGAGCAAGTTACTTAACCTCTCTGAACTTCTATATCCTTACGTAGAAAATGGAAAAATAATAGTACCTTCTTCAAAGAACCAATTGTGCAGATAAAATAAAGTAGTATACAGGAAATCCCTGGCACAGTGACTGGAATGCAGTAATTAATAATTCCTTTTCCTTTATCAATCAGAGAATTTGGGGAACTGGATGCACGTGTTTCCAACTTCACGCCAGAGAGGATTCATGGCTATGTCTTAGGAACAAAGTGGGTTATAAGAATTAACTGTAGGCTTTTCACATATGTAAGCTTCCTGGATAATGCAGCTCTGAGAGGTAGGTGTGAGGAAAGGAGGCTCTGAGAGACTGAGTAATGTGCCCAAGGCTACTACATAGCTGGGCAAAAAGTCGGGATTCAACCCCAGGGCTTCTTACTCCCAAATCTTCAGTCTTCCCACGCCACCACCTGCCTCCACCCTCGCTTCTTGCTTCTCTTCTGAGAGCGTGCTCTTTACAGCCGTATTTCTGGTTGCTCCTCCGTCCTCACCGCCCCTTCGAGGTCAGCCTGAAAAAGGATACTGTGTCTAGGGGTAGAAGCAATGCTGTGGGGAGTGGATGTTCAGTTCTATTTCCAGCTCCTGGGCAGCTTTGGGCAACCTGAATTAGCTCCTCCCCATTTGCACAGCTAGGAATATGCCGCAGGGAGCCTGGGGAACGCTTGAAGATTACAAGCATTTTAAAGCAGATTCATGTAGCCATAATTTTTCTGTGTTATATTCGTTGTGAGACTCCCTCCCTATGCCCCCCCAGAAGCATGATCCTGTCTGTTCAAAAGAAATAAGCCAGCATGAGCACCCATTTGCCTGTGTGCATTGAGGCTTCTGTTCTGAGCATCCAAGCTGGAACCTTCTGTGTCCCAGGGGTACAACCTTTCACTTGCTAGTTCCTGGGGTGCTGGTAGCTGGCAGTTCCCTATCCTCACCCACTCCCAGGCCATCACGGCACTGGGCTGGACTTCAGCGGTGCTGACCGGGATGGAAGTCAGCCAGGCATGCACCAGCAGAGCAGAGAATCTTCTCTAAATATTTCACACAAAGTATCTTTTCTCTGTCAACTCATTTTATTCCTACCGTGTTGTGTGAGGAGATCCCAGGGTTATTGTTTATGGATGAAGGGACTGAGGCACAGAGAGTTTCAGTGACTCAGACAAGGCGCCACAGAGGGTGAGCAGCAGGGCCGGGCCTTGGATCCAGGTCTCCTGACCAGTTAACTCTCCAGGGCCCTGTGTGCTGCTTCCCATGTCGTGCTCCTGTGCAAATCAGATTCCACTACCAGTTCCCACTGACCCAGCGTTGTTGGCAGACCTGGTCCTCCTGGGGCTTCCAGATAATGTAGAGAAGGGGGAAGCAGAACCTTAGGAAACTTTCTTGATCAGTGATACCTTCTGGCAAAGAAGAAGTGATATATCAAACTCAGCCCAGAGAATGAAATTCCTAAAGCTTATGTAAGTCAGCTTTTTTCATTTACATTTCAATTATCCACTTCATTTCAACCTTGTCCTTCACCAGAACCATCTGCATCCCATAGTAAGCAAATGAGAAAGAGAGATGGAAGGGATGTGACACTTTCTGGTTGTGTGTGTAGGGGACCCACATATAGTGTTTTCCTTTCTTTTGGTGAGTTCTTGGCATCTTGGCATCTGCCCTGAGTCCTGTTGCTAACCCCATGAGCATAGAAGGACCATATTTAGGGAAAAGGTGAAGGATTGCTTCTCCAGCTATGTCTCAGTCACCAAAGGAGTCTGTGAGATGCTCCAAGGCCGAAAAATGCCACGAGAGGGGCCTGACCCTTAATCAGGCAAGGATGGGGGTGTTAGGGAGGCTATGCTTCTTAACTTCTCTTGCTAGAGGGACAGCAGGTTCCAGAGGTTTTGCCCTGAGATAGGCTGCTCACCCAGTCCATGTCGATGACACCAGCTTTGAGAGTCCCAGTGTCCATGCTGCCTGGGAGGGTGGAGATGCCACATAGACACCTGTCTGCCACAGGGAGGGAAATAGTCATCTCCTGCACACAAGTGTGTTCCCTGACACTGTGTATCTGGTGAGGTGGGGGAGGGGCATCACTATATTTGGTGATTTAATTATCTAGTAGAAGAGAACCTCTTAGGTCCTTTCAAAATCACACTACCAAGATAATGTCACCAAATAGGGACATGTGGGACATTCTAGCATTACAAGTAATAATAAAAACTAACATGTATTAAATGCTTCTTAGGCACCGGCACTGTCTAAGGACTTTATATGTAGTAACTCATTTAATTCTCATTCAGACCTGTGGTATCTATTTTTATTTTCCCTAATTTATATTTGAAGAAGCTGAGGATCTGCAATAACGAGTAATCTGTTCCAGGTCCTACACCTACTAAGAGGTAGAGCAGAGCTTCCTCATCATACTTACTCCCTTTTTCTGGGGCTGTTTGGGCACTGCACTCACCAAGTTCTGGCTCAGGAGTCTGCTCTGCTTTTGTTTCCTAGTGCATCATAGCCTTGTGGAGTTTTACTTGCAGAAGCCAAGAAACAAGGACACCAACATCATGGTCACCTTCTTCAGCAGCAATGTCACCTCCTCAGCCCAGATCACCATGTAAGTAAATGTCCCTCACAGCTGGCCTCTCTCCTTACGAGACAGTTTTATTTTACACACATATCCCTGGACAGGCCCTGCTGCGCTCACTGATAGGTAAGCCAAGCTCACTGGGCTGGGGCTGGGGGTAAGGGCAGAATCTACCACAGATGTACCCACAGACACATACTGGGCAACTGTCCCAGGTTCAGGGTCAGTATTGGGTACAAGTACAGTATATTCAGACAAGAGCAGATGAGGCAGGCAGGCAGCGGTGCTGGGGTGTCCCAACAGGTGGTGAAAACCTAGAAATTAAGTCCCTGAGAAGAAACAGTGCTCAGGAATGCAAGACTGGGGGCATCAGGGATGTCAGCATGTAGGAGAGCCTCAGCCACTATCCCAGGAAGGACTGGCCAGAGCCCCGGAGGCACCCACTTCTGGGTAGGGGAGTAGTACTGGGTGAGTTGCCAGAACAGAATTGCAGGCAGAGTGTCAGCCAGCAAATGAGTGCAAGGTGAGGGCTGGCAGGCTTGATGCTGGATGGTACCCATTCCCAGAACTAGGGCTGAGTGTTTCCCTTGTTGTCACACTTTGGCCTAGCAGCCAGTTGGGACCAGGCTGAAGATGGAAGGGCAGAGGACCTCAACTCTAGGACATCACAAGGCAGGCAGAGGAAAGGAACTCAGTAGTGCATGTTTCTTCAAAAAGCAATTGATTACTTACTCACAAAACCAGCAGGACACAGACTAATTAGGTACACCAGCATCTTAGTCAGGGCCCTGTCTGGAAAACATCGCACAAGCCAGGTAGTCCAACAGAAGGAGTTTAACTCAGAAAACTAACTACAAATGTGCTGGGAGAGCCGAAAACCCCCAAAGATGGGGAGAAGGGGAGGCAATGCAGAAATCAGCCACAGGAGGAGCCACTCCCACCCCAGGGCTACATACAGGGACAAAGCCAGGGGCAGTGTTGGCAGACCACAGAACAGGGTGTGATTCTCTCCAGAACCTGCTGACAGAGGAGCCTGAGAAATACGGTCTGCAGGAGAAGTGCACAATCATCAACAGTGGCAGGTGCTATGCAAGACAGCACCTGACTGAGTGTGAGGAAATGATATTTGAACAGAGATTTAAGGATTCTCAGGAGTTGCCCAGGTCCGGGTTAGTGAGGTTATAACACTGGGAGGGGCAGCACGGGGGTGAGGCCCCATAAGAGGAGGCTGGAGGGGTGAGCCCGGGCCACATCAAGCAGGGCCTTGAAGGATTAGAGGTTTTGGTTTTTATCCTGAGAGCAGTTTGGGGAGCCACTGGGAGTTTTAAACAGGAGTGTGACTGGATGAGATTTGTGTTTGGAAACATTTCTCAGGCTGAAGGGCTGCACATTAACTGTGCTATCAGGGAAGACAAGTTTCAGCTGGAAGGCACATTACTTCTTGGCTCCCAGACACCCCACTGCTGGCCCGGGTTCCAGCTCACCAAGGCCACACAGGGCACATGGCAGGCAGTCGGGGCCCCAACACAGGTCTTCAGGTACCTACCTGAGCCCTGCAGATTGTAGCTAAATAATTTTCTTCAGATCCCTTCAAGGATGAGTTACTTCTAGAAGGGTATTTTCATCACCTCTTCAGTCCAATGGCAGGTGAGCCAACTCTGGACGGAGCCGTGACAATGACATACAACTTCGGCTGCACAACAGTCACCTGGGGAGCTGTGGAAACTACTGCCACTGAGCCCCACCCCAGACCAAGCACAGCAGAATCGCTGGGCATCACCTCAACAGCTACAGTTTTTTAAAAAAAATAACTTTTTAATTTTTCAATTGCAGTTGTCATACAATATAATATGTGATGAATGTGCAACCCAGTGATTTGACATTTATATAACTTAGCAAATGATCACCCCGATAAATCTAGTACCTGTCTGACACCACACATAGGTGTCAATTACAATATTATGGACCATCTTCCAATAGCTATCCTTTTAAAGACTTCCTGAGTGACTCCCATGGACACCCACAGAGGCCTTCCTCCCTCTCCCAAGAGATTGGCATTACTCTTCTGAAGAAGGCTCTCAGAACATCATTACCTTCAATTCCTTTTTTTGTTGTTTTCGTTTTTCTCTTGCAGTACAGAAATTGATAAAAAGGAGGAGAGGGAGGTTTGTGGGCAGTCTTTCCCCTACTTTCCATCACTTCGTGAAGCCCCCAAGTTTCCTTCTGATGAGAAAATTTACCCGGCCCAAGTCCCCAGGCCACAGCCTCCTTCATACTCCTTGTTTGCAAGTTCCACCACCCAAGCAGCTTCTTACAGTGAACAATTTTCTTATTTTCTTCTGAAGTGTTTTGAAACATTTCCAATATGTAAAAATAAAAGGAACAGCTTAAGTAATGGCTGTTACTTAAATGATTATACTTATGCTTAAAGTAGAGCTTAATGGCATTGCATTCTCAGGATAGTATTTTGTAAATAAAGATGATTTCAACATGAATAAATTATTTCCATTTTGTTTTATTCTGCATAGTTGTTTTAATTTTATTAATGAATCCATTGTCATATACACAATAATGAGAGTTTCCTATATGTACTTGTGCAGTTGGGGATGTTCTAAACTTCAAAGTCTTTATTTTTATGTCAAGAACTGTATTTACTATGGCTGTAGATGAATGTGAAAGTAACTTTGTACTTAATTCAGTAAATTCTAATTGATTTAACAACTTGTTTGGCATTGATCATACTAACAGAATCAGCTAGGTTTTTCATTAAAAAAAATAAAATAAAATAAAGTAGACTAGTCTTCTCACAAAGTCCTTTGACCTGAATGTCCTAAAGAGGGCTCTACTTCAGAGTTGGTGGATCTGAAAGTGAGGATCTTTTCCAACGAGGAGTCTAAGAATGAGGGACATTTTTCCAGATGTGTAAGTCCAAGAGCTACTGTTTTGCTGCAGTATCTGTTTGTTTACTTCCAAAAAATCAATTATTTTCCAAGTCATGTTCAAAGCTGTGGGTATGTGGGCAGAGGGGCTAGTTGGGGTGATACAAAGGACTGTGGTCCCCACCTTCAAGGAGCTAACTTTTGTGCCTGACAGCTAACCAGTGCTACCAGCAGAGCCCCTTAGGGACTAAGGGGAAGCAAAGGCCAGAAGTGCTACATAACTTACTCTCCCTTTCCCTTGCAGACCTAGACAGCAACTGCAAGGGAGAGGAGTCCTAGCTCATCCCAACCCTCACTGCCAGGTGCACCAAGTGAATCTCAAGTTCCAAGCTTCCCACTGGGTTTGGAGAAAAGATCGGACTACCATTGTTGGGAAGTTCTGCACTGCTCCTTTGCCGGTCAATGACAAGTAAGCCCAGTATCCACCCCAACCCAGAGACACCCATAAGAACCAATCCTAAACTTAAATGTGATGCTTGTTGAGATTCAATCTCATCATGAGTGATTAGCTTCTTTGATGTAGAGATGACAGCAACCCAGGGTTCTCCTGATATTCCTGCAAGACCATCTTGTGTTGGGAATGTTAAGAATCCAAAGAGCATGAACTCTTAAATCCTTGTTTTTACTTTAATATAAGAAACCCCTTTTTACCTGTTCTTTTTATCTAATCAATCTCTATCATCTATCTATCTATCTATCTATCTATCTATCTATCTATCTATCTATCTATATCTATCTAGATATGTTTTATTTGGATTCTATATAAGATTTTATTGGAATAAAGATTTCTAATTACATTTTCCTCCTCCTTAGTGTCCACTAGTCACATTCATGGGTGTGGATCGAGACTCCCAGCCACCTTACACCCTGCCTCTAGCAGACCTTTATATTATTAGTCTTAACACCTGGACCCTTTGAGGACAGTAGGCTCCTGTAGTATACAACTACAAACTTCTTTCACCTGACATCATGAAAACACAAGACCTCCAACCCCTCCCTCCTGACCAAAAGGAATGTGCCCTGAGCATATACCCTCTTGTTGTTCTTCTCTTGCAGTAAAAAGATGGTCTGCTTACCTGAACCAGTGAACTTACAACCAGATGTGACTGTTTGTCGTGACCTGAAAATTCCATGTGCATAGTATAAGCCTGGGCAGGACACATCTCCTTGGATTTTGGAGGAGAGGAGTTCAACTTATTCTAGGCCATTACTACTAAAAAGAAAGACAAAATGTTTATTGGTTCTTTTCCCCATAATTGACCACCTTAGAAGGGAAATATAACTCATTTTACAGAGCTTGATCTCTATTGCCAATTTGAAGAGTCTTGTGTAGATATCATGTCAGCTTTTTTACTCATGCTTAAAAGCAATTGCATCACATCCTTGGGCATCTGTACCTAGGATTCAATAGAAACATATACAGGAAAAATGTTTTTTATCAAAAATAAATTTCCATGGAATATCTGAGTCATGTATTGTTTTATTGAAATGGAATTCTGTTACATACAAAGAATGTGATTTACAGTCTGGGATTGGAGAGAACAATAGATGCTGAAGTCTCTGTGTTAAAAGAACAATTAAAAAAAAAAAAAAAGCCCTGGCTGGCATAGCTCAGTGGATTGAGCGCGGGCTGTGAACCAAAGTGTCGCAGGTTCGATTCCCAGTCAGGGTACATGCCTGGGTTGCAGGCCATGGCCCCCAGCAACCGCACATTGATGTCTCTCTCTCTCTCCCTCTCTCTCTCTCTCTCTCTCTCTCTCTCTCTCTCTCTCTCTCTCTCTCCCTCCCTTCCCTCTCTAAAAATAAATAAATAAAATCTTTAAAACAATAAAAAAAAAAGAGAACAATTGAAAGAAGTGCTTGGAACAAGAGAGGAGATGAAGGGTGGGGTAGAAGGTGGTGCCATTCACCTCCCTTACCATTGTCCTCTGGATATCTGGAAGGTTTGAGGGATCAGAGAGTTCTTTGGGGAATATAGGTAGATTTCCTTTGTGTCAGTGTTTCTCAAACTTAGATCTTTGTAAATACTCTTGAATCAGCCACAATCCAGCAAGAAGCAGATGGTGCACTCAAATTGGGCAGTTTGAGGGGAATTTAATAAAAGGACTATTTACAAAGGTTTTAGAAGGGAGTAGGAAAATGACACGGGATAGTGCAGTTACAGGGCTATTGGCAGTGGGAGCTGATACTGCCCCAGATCTGAAGAGGTAAGTGGAAGGGGCCCCAGAACCTGGGGCCAGTGTGGGCTGGGGGACCTTCAGCCAGAGGATATAGTCACCAGGCAGCAATATTGCAAGGAGAGAGCCAGGGAAACAGAGTCTCCGATATCATTCTTCTTTTCTCCTTCCTTCTCCTGCTACTGCTCCCCACTGAGTGACTGTGCCTAGAAGCTGGAAGGCAAGAGGCACAGTGATGGGGCTCAAGAGGGAAAACAGGGCAGAGGAGGGTGGAGAATGGATGGCTGGGGGTGGGGAGCAAACAGAGAGGTATGGCCCATACCTTTACCACTTTCTCCACAGCCAGGTACCCCCTGGATTCTTCTAAGCTTAATGGTTTCCTTTAAATTCTTTAAAAAATCATTTAAATCACATCTAAGCAAGCGGGTGGTTTTGTATATTCACATTTTTGTGCAAGCCTCACCGTGCTCCATCTCCAGAACTTTTCACTAACACAGACTGAAACTCTGTGCCCATCAAATAACAACGCCCCACTCTCCCTCTACCCAGGCCCTGGTAACCACCTTTCTACTTTCTGTCTCTATGCATTCTACTACTCTAGGTACCTTATGCAGTTGTACAATGTTTGTCCCTTTGTGACTGATGTATATTACTTAGGATAATGCTTTCAGTGTTTATTCATGTTGTAGCATGTGTCAGAATTTACATCCTCTTTAAGGGTGGCTAATATTGTACTACTGTTCACATATGAGAGGGGACCCCACAAACTAAAATTTATTTATAAAAAATTGTGTGTTTATTCTTACATGTTTAAACTTCAGTCACTTTCAAAGTACTCTCCATCTGATGCAATACACATCTCCTGACAGTTTTTTCCACTGTTCAAAACAGTTTTTGAACTCATTGATTTTGATGCCTTTTAGTGCTTCCGCCATTTTTGGTTTTACCGCTTTCACATTGGCAAAACATTCCCCTTTGAGGACTTTTTTCATCTGGGGAAACACAAACAAAAAACCCCCAGTTTCCTGGGGCTAGATCAGGTGAATAGGAAGGGTGGGGGCACGGGGTCATGTCATTTTTGGTCAAAAACTGCTGAACACTCAGTGCAGTGTGGGTAGGTGTGCTCATAAATTGCCCATCATGAAAGGGGCAAAGGTGTTGAAAAAGTCTTCAAAACAAAATTCACTGAAGCCAAACACAGCCTCTCACAACACCAGCTGGTACACTGATACAGATGGGTTCCTAGAACACTCACCTAGCAGGGAAGCCTATACTACAAGGAGTCCACCCTCTAGAAGATAACTTTGTTTTTTTTTAGGTCCCCCCTTGAGTACCACATTTAGATGTTTGTTTGAAATTTAATCTTCATTGTATTTTTTTCCAGTACCATTTAGTCCCATTATATCCCCTACCCCAGCAATCACCACACTGTTTCCATGCCCATGAGTCTTTTATCTTTTTTGTTCCATCCCTCCACCCCTAAGCACCCCTCAGCTGTCATTTTGCTCTCCCTCTATGAGTCTGTCCCCTCATTTTCCTTGTTAGTTCAGCTTGTTCATTAGATTCCACATATGAGTGAAATCACATGTTATTTGTCTATCTCTGACTGGGTTATTTCAATTAGCATAATGTCCTCCAGGTCCATCCATGCTCTTGCAAAATGTAAAATTTTCTTCTTTTTTATGACTGAGTAGAACTCCATTGTGTAAATATCCCATAGTAATTTTATCCACTCATCTACTGATGGAAATTTGGGCTGCTTCCACATCTTGGCGATTGTAAATAACACTGCAATGAACATAGCGGTGCTGCCCTGGCTTGTGTGGCACAGTGGATTGAGTGCTGGCCTGTGAACCAAGGGGTCACTGGTTCAATTCTCAGTCAGTTCACATGCCTGAGTTACAGGTCAGGTCCCCAGTAGGGGGTGCCCGAGAGGTAACCACTCATTGATGTTTCTTTCCCACTCTCTCTCCCTCCATTCCCCTCTCTAAAAATAAATTAAAAAAAAACACACAACATAGGGGTGTTTATGTTCTTTTAAATTAATATTTTGCATTCCTTCAGATATATTCCCAGAAGTGGGATCACTGGGTCAAAAGGCAGATCCATTTTTAATTTTCTGCTTTCTACAGTGGCTGCACCACTCTGCATTACCACCAACAATGTAGGTGTCCTCTTTCACCACATCCAGCCAGCACTTGTTGTTTGTTGATTTATTGATGATAACCATTCTGATAAGTGTGAGATGACATCTCATTATGGTTTTAATTTGCATTTATCTGATGATTATTGATGTTGAGCATCTTTTCATATGTCTATTGGCCACTTGAATGTCCTCTTTAAAGAAGTGTCTATTCAGGTTCTTTGTCCATTTTTTAATTGGGTTGTTTGGACATTAAGCCCGTATCAGATGTATCATTGGTGAATATGTTATCCCATTCTGTGGGTTGTCTTTTTATTTTGTTGATGATTTCCTTTGCTGTGTAAAACTTTTTAGTTCAATGTAGTCTCATTTATTTATTTTTTTCCTTTGTTTCCCTTGCCTGGGGAGATATATCTGATAAAATATTGCTACAAGCAATGCCTGATGTTTTACTGCCTATGGTTTCCCTCTAGAATTTTTATGGTTTCCAGTCTAACGTTGAAATCTTTGACCCATTTTTGAATTTATTCTAGTGTGTGGTATAAGAAGGTGGTCTAGTTTCATTTTTCTGCACATATCTGTCTGATTTTCCCAACACCATTTATTGAATATAAATATTCTTTAATATGCGGGCTCAGAGTTCTTTTTTTTTTAAACCAAAATTCCCTTTACTTTTTTCCCTCTCTGCCTTTACTCACCCAGGTTCTCAGAAGAACCTCCCTAGAGAACTGAGAACTTTCACCCTGAACTATATTATGCAGCATTTCCTGTTTCCACAGCTTCATGTTGTTTTTCCCCTCAACTTCATGTTATTGTAATTAATGGTTGCCATCCTATGAGACATAGCTTAGTACAGAGTTCTTCCTTAGTTTTCCCTGCTGCTTATTGTTTCCAAGTGTGTGCAAATGCTTCTGTGATGAAGACTATGTTCTGTAGTGTTGATGCTGATTGCTGATCACTGAGTTGACCTGCTGTTTTTCTGTCCTCATACTTTCAGTTTTGCTTTTGAGCACAGCCCCGTGTTTCTTTGCTAATACATTCTTACTTTAAAGAACTTTTAGACTCTCTCACATTCACTCAATCAGAAACTTTAGATTATTACCATAAATGGTAAACCAGTTTTCCTTATCATAAATTAATCCTAAAAATAACTACACTGAGAACATAGCAATGTTTAACTTCCCAACTAGATGTTGTGGCTTGCTGAAGGCTCTGCTCCCTGTGCTAGTTTTGTCCTGATTAGGGTTCACCACAGCTCTTCAACTTCATAATGTTTGTATTCTTCTTAATCCAGCTTGCCTTCTTTCTTGTGGAGTTGATTTTTGTTTGAACCTGATTGAATTTTTCATGTAACCCAATTTTATTAAATATTATTGTTGTAGTCTCTCCAACTTATCAGGAATTTTCTATATCTTGATTTAATCCTCAAGAATACTTAGCTTTCTCTTCAAGCTTTTTGTCATTTTGTATTATATATATTTTATTACATATAAAATATATGTGTGTTTATATGTAGCTTTTTAAAAATATTGATTTTAGTGAGAGAGAGAGGATGGGGAGGGAGAGGAAGAGAGAGAGAGAGAGAGAGAGAGTGAGAGAGAGAATATGAATAATTTAGCTTTAGCATGACTTCATTTCCAGGAACCCATGCAGTGTTGTAATAATTTCTACTTTATTTTCTAAATATATGCAAGTCATATTTTTAATGATTTATACCTGGACTTTGCTGGAAATCAACATCAAACTTCTTGATCTGTGATTTCAGGAATCACTAGTTTCCCTAGAGCAAATTTATCTACCCACCCTCTTCTAATCCTTCTCTTTGGGATTGTTTAATGATTATTGAAAAAAGACCTCAGTCAGCCCTCAAGGTCATTCTTTCTTTTCTTTTCTATTTAAAAATCTTGATGGCAATGTATTCTGGAGTGGGAAGATGGTGGCATTGTAGGAGGGAGTGTATTCCCCTTCCCCTATGCACGGGAGAGAAACTGGCCAATCTGTGGAGGAACAGAGCAAGGGACCAATGATATCGCAACATTTATGAAAATAGGACATCAAAAATTATAGCGGTCATTGAAAAACCAGACAGTGAGGAAACTGCTTCAGGATAATAAGGGCCCAGGGATCATCTCAGGGACCAGGGAGGT